TTGCATAAGCATGAAGACAGATCCGCCAACCTCTACCCATTGGTTCTGAAAGAAAAAAGGATTTAATTTATCTAGACCAGGAGCTTTTAAAGGACCCATTAAGAAGACAACATCTTTTACTTCTTGTTTTGATATTTTGCATCCCATTAACTTAATAGATAGGTTCTGTTTCTTTGGAAAACCACCTCCAAAAAGGATCCTCATTTGAAGGGGTTGTTTCCTCTGCATATAAATTAGTGAAATATTCTATGCCAATCAATTGTAGGGTCTTAGTATCGAAAATCCATTCCCCATCATCTCCTTTGAGGGCTTTTATATGCTTTCTTTTCTTTCGACAGTGTGTTGTATAATGAAAATTTTTTATATTTTTGTCACCATTACTATACCAATTACATCTAGATCATTAAAGCCATAAAATCTCCTCTTGAACTAGAATACTCTCCAACCTCCTCTAAACTTTAGATCTTTCATTTTCAATAGTAGTCGAATTCAAATTTTTGCTTAGCCTTCTATTTATCCTTGATAATTGAAGCAACAGGTCTGATTTTTGCTTATTTATATTTCAAAAAATCTTTTTATTCCTGTCTAAAACATTGCTAATAAATCTCTCCACATTCTCACTCAAATCATTTGAAGGATATCATGACCCTTCCACTAAGGCATTAAAACTTTCGTGAGTAACCCAAAGGGAAAAAAATCGAAATCCCTTATTCCTTCTCTTGCTTTCTACAACATTCTGAAGCTTCAAAAGAAGTGGACAATGGTTTGATTTAAGCTTTGGTAAATGAACAACGTTGGCTTCAAGAAAATTTTCAAACCATTTAGTGTTCACTAGAAAGCGGTCAATTCTGCTGCATGATCTTCCATTACTCCAAGTAAATCTAGGTCCTTGTATCCTAGATCTATAACACCAGAGCCAAAAACCCAAGACTTAAACATCTATCAGGTTTAGGTGAAGTACATGACAATGTGATCCTATCTTCTTCACATAATGTTGCATTGAAGTCACCACCAATACACCACTTTCAAGCTCCTTGTTCTTCAATAGTTTGAGGCATTGCTAAAGGGATCATCTTCTACCGTACCTTGGATTAGCATATACGATCAAGAGATCCCATTCATGTCTGGTACTAGAATTAAAACAACTATGTAATACTTGATCATATTTTGCTGTCACTTGAAACTTCATTTCATCTCCCTAAAAACACCATATACCTCCACTGTATCTGTTTGCCTCCAAATAATCAAAGTTGACGAGCCCTACTCTTCTAACTAGTGATTAAGCCTTATAACTATTATGTCTAGTTTCAATGAGCGCCAAAAAACCAACCTTATAATGCTTTCATAAACCAGATAGAATCCCTAGTAAAATACGTTTTCTAGACCCACGCAAATTCCAAAAATATTATAATTATATGAGCTATCCATAAAAAATAATAATAATATAATGATTAGAAGAGAGCCAAATTAAACCTCCAAGGGTCGTATTTCACCTTGAACAATGTCAATCATCTCCTCCTCAATCACGCCCTTTGATAATGGATTTGAATAAATGAAGAAATTTGATGATGGCCTCGAACCCAAGTCCAAAGGATTATCAACTCCCCTCATTATATCTGACTCATTATCAACATCACTTTCATCCATTGTTTTCTCCAAACCCAAGTCCATCCTGACCACCATCTCGCCCTTTATCCTTTTTAACGTTATTTAAAATGTTGTGTCTTGTTTCAGTATCTTACTTATCTAGCCCCAACCTAGTCTTGGCTCGATCTATAATTTTCATTCTAACTGAACTGGATTCATTTAGTGTAGATACACCTTTCCGGTCCTTCTCATTTCTATACATGTTTCCTTGACTTGGCCCTTTTTTTTTAACGGGTAGCTCTTCCATTTCTTTGCTTAAAATTTTTAGAACCAGCTGTCCTTTATTTTTTATATTCATAATATCTTTTAGTGTAGCCTTTTCTCCATAATCTTCAGAATTTCTACCTCCAAATCTGCCTATTTATTTTCTAACATTGAGAATCTGGATTTTAGCATTCCAGATTGATTTTTTTCCCTTGATTTCTCACTTCATCCCCAACCACCTACCACATCAGAATCGTCTGTGCCTCTATACCAGCATCCATGAGTCATATTGGACCTCTAAATCTGCTTCTTTCTCCCCAGCTACCTTATTAAATTTCCTTTCATGGTGCGATTCAGAATTAGTGATATTTTCCATTGCTTCCCTCTTCTATTGTTTTCTTTTTTCCATCTGCATCCCGTCTTTGTTTGATTTGTATTTATTCATGGCAATGGTTGATGTCATAGCCATATTTGCCACATCTAAAATAGATTAGATGTATGCTTTCATATTGGATTTTCTTCTCTTTACCCTTAATAAGAATGATCGTTCTTAACACAACACTAAGATCAACCTTTACGCAAATACATGCAAACCTCCCTTTTCTCCTCCTTATTGTTGTCATGTTAACCTTCAAGACTCTACCAATCTAAGATCTTAACACATAAAGAATACCCTTATCATAGTAGTCTAATGGAAGGTTGGCAATCCAAATCCATGCTAATATCTTTATGATTTTTTCTTCATCAGGTTCAAATTCCTCTTTTTATGGTTGCAAAGCAATATACTGATCGAATAATAACCAAGGCCTACCAATTAAAGCTAGATCATAATCATCTTGGCTTTACGTCAATCATTGCGACCTTGCCCTATTTGCCCCACATCAAAGGTAATTTGGTCTCCATATATTTCGTGCAAATCATACGCCCTAAGAGAGTGACGATCAGTGAGTTTTCCCACTTTTTCGCTAGTCTCTGCTTTTTTACTTGCAGTATAATCATGTTCAGGCCTTGCGATGTCATCTCTATCGATATTATGGACCTCCATTTGTCATTGCTCTACCAGTCCTCCTCTTCAAGAGTCTTATCCTTCCATTTGAGCATGCTTGTTTGTATGAGTTCCTTACTTTTGGTGTTTCCTTCCTAGTCCTATCTCTAGTCTCCCTGCCCTTCTCATCAACGATCGTCTCATGCATCTCATCATCCATCATCCAAGTCTTATGTCGAGGGATGAAGGCTTGGTTGTTTGAGAAAAAAACTATCATCAACATGAACTTTCGTCCTACTCCGATCAAGGGCATCCCTTTCCTCGGGTGTCAGCACCGGAGCCAATCTTTCTCATTCCTCTAAACTTAATTGGGATAAAAGAAGAAATTTTTGTTTTTCTTTTCAATTGTCTAGACTTTAGCTGAAGTATCTCTAGTGAAATTAAGAAATTAAACACATGGATTACCTGTAAATGAGTGACGTGTCAAATTTTAAACTCATCTTTTCTTCCGTCTGACATGCTTCACGTGTAATTTTGTTAATTTGGAATTCATCATTTCAATTCAATTAAATGAAAATTTTCTTAATTCAAAATGTACCATACATTTTTTAACAGTTAATAACTTCAGTATTTATTTTTCAAATTTAAATATTTATATGATTATGTTTTTCTAGTGAAAGGAGGCGAGAATGATAGGTAATTTTGTAAGAATATTATTTATATTAATTCATTTCATCATTAATCCCTAAATTAAGATGTCATATAAAATAGGTCTAGAATAATTAAGGATAGTTTAAAAAAGCCATTCTATTTTTTTTGAAAAAAGAAATCTCTCAAACAATAGTCTAATTGGCAGGGTTCTTAAACCACAAATTGTCAGGGTCACGTGAGGGATCTACACAAAGCCACGCGCGTGAGCTTGAACCATGCAAGGCATGGGGGCACCAGGCCTTGGAAATCAATACGATTACTCGCTGATGGTACTTTTCAAGCTTTTTAATGGACCAGCCTTTGGACTGGTTACTTATCTCGTGGTTGTGAGCCTTCCAAACTTTTATCTATATGTTCGAACATGTTACCAGGAGGATTCTTTTATTTATTTATTTTTTGCTTTCTGTTTGTTGTCCTTTTGGTGTCTATTTTCAGTTTGGGCTTTCTTTGGTTTCCTTTCATTTAGTTTTTGTGTGCTAAACTTTTTGAATGGGCTTGCAGTCTTTGTTTGGGAGGCCCTTTTATTTTATTCGTTTGATATTTTAAATCGGAAAATTGCATACAAAGACTGTTGAAATATGTTACTCACAAACAAGAATGAATAAATTTTGAATTAACACTACATGCCATGAGGTCTGATATGAAAATAAGATTAAAGTTGAAACGATGAAAATAACCCTGTATGAGTTGATTAAATAAGGAGTTAATTCTTATTAAAATGGAATGAGGATTTTTTAAATAAGGAATTGATTGTTGTTACAAAAGAATACGACATTTTTTTTTGAATAATGACTTTTTCACCATATCACAATACTTATTTCTTAAAAAAAAATGGTTATTTTCTACCCTTGTTAAAAAGAAATTTATTATTGTTAAAATGGAACAAAGATTTGTGTTTTCTCGGATGGTAATTTGTTCACCTGGTCACAACACTTGTTTCTATTAAAAAATAGTTATTTTTTCACTTGTTAAATTAAATAAAAAATTGATTATTGTTAAAATAGAATATATACTTCTTTTTCCCAAATGTCAACTTGTTATTTTAGTTGTACTTCTTTTAAACTGGATGGTTATGTTCATCATTTCAACTTCAATCTTATTTTCATACCGGTCCTCATGGCTTGCAGTGTTAATTCAAAATTTATTAATCTTTGTTTGTGGATAACATGTTTTAATGGTTCTTTTGTGCGATTTTCCCATTTCATGTCTCATGTTAAAAAATAAAAAATAAAAAGGCGCCACACAGTGCCTGTGCCTCCACCAATATTATGTATTTATGTTAGGTTCAAGTGAGCATAAAATTAAAAAAAAAAAAAAAAAACACACACACACAGAGAGAGAGAGAGATAGAACTGAATATCCATGCTCCTATAGGTTATCCTAGCATGAATTGATTGAAGTACAAACACAACCCAATTTTCTTCTCCTTCCACCTCCTTTTCCCCTCTATATATATGGCCCTGATAAGCCTTCTTCTTCAGTCCATCAATTCTTCTCTCAAATCTCTCTCTCTCTCTCTCTCCCCCTCTCTCTTTGCAAAATTCATTTCCAGAAAAATGGAAATGGAAAGTAGTATACCGATAGCAAAGAGAGTGTGGAACTTAGTGCGTGTGGCCTTCTTCATGCTGAGGAAAGGCATATCCAAGGGCAAGCTTTTGATGGACCTAAACATGATGCTCAAGCGCCGTCGCAAGATCGCCGGCAAAGCTATTTCCAACCTCATGTTCCACCACCACCACCACCACCACCACGACGGCAGCTCTCACCATCAGTTCTCCGGCCAGCACGAGTACGAGTTCAGCTGCAGCAACACCCCGAACAACTTCTTCTTCTCCATTGGCGGCAGCAAGCGCCACCATCACAGCCGCCACCCTCACCACCACAATCACTCGCTTTTCTTTGCGTGTGCTCACGAGCCACCCACTCAGGATGACGAGGTGGTGGTGAAGGCGGTGCTGGAGATGCTGAACAATGAGGTTATGGTAGAGGCGTCGCCGGCTCTTCCCGGATTTGGTCGGAGCCCGATGGTGCGGCAGCTGAGGGTGACGGACTCGCCATTCCCGTTGAGAGACACCGATGGCGACCATCAGGTGGACAAGGCAGCGGAAGAGTTCATAAAGAAGTTTTATAAAGAGTTGAAGAACCAGAATTAAATCTTCATCGGCATGATCTTAATTTATATATATAGCTCGCAACTTCATGTTAATTATATTATCACTGAGTACAAAATTTTGAACTTTGATGACTATCCCAGAAAGTCACGACTTTGGGTTCATGTTGCTTAAATTTTGCTTATAATTAATTAAAGAATAAAAATTAGAAGTTTAAGACTGTAATAAAGCTCTCTCTTTGTTAATTTAATTATATCACTCCTCTTTCTCTTAAGGGTCACGTTCTTGATAGACTCATTAACATGTAATGCTATAATAATTTCATGCCTTTGAACAGAAAAAGCTAATAAAAAAAAAAGAACCGTAAGAATATATGAGGCTGTGATAATATGAACGTGATTTTTTCTTAGAGAAAATAAAGAGGATAGGGACTAATTCTATCAGATCAACATGCATGCATGTATTAATCTTTTATAAAATTATGACAAATTTAAATTTTTACATGAAGACAAATATTGTATACCTCCCCAAGAAACTGGAGAACAATATTCATAATTAATCAAAAATTGAATCTCCCTCAGCTACCCCTCTCAGCACTTTTCGTACTATTCTCTCTTGTACTCAAGGAATTTCTGAATCTGGCCATATTCTTCCTCCCAGATCGAATTTCTCCTCCCTCTCTACAGTCACACTGCAACCACGGTATATGGAGCCCTTTGGACTCTGACTAATTTGAACCAAGTCGAGTCGGATGACATGGATGGTGACAAGCTCTCCCATTAAATATTTATTGCACATGTCTAGGTTACAAACTTCAAACTCCAGATTTCATTTAGGTTTAATACATATCATACTTAATTACAATTGTATTTATATAATTAATTCAAAACATTACAGTTTATGTAAATAATTAATATTAATATATATCATATATTAATTCAAAGAGCAGAATTATATATTTTAGAATAGTTAGGAAATATGTTTCACATTTGTTTGCTTTTTGAGTAAGCGACTTCATGGAGGCCGGCCCCAAAATGTATAATGGGCACATTTTGGGACAAATTATTGTACGGTAAAGAAGGGAGGAGGTTCCAAGAATTGAAAGAGTTTTATAAATAATATAAAATATGCATGAAAGTGTGATTTGGTTTTAAAGTGGCTAGAATGGGTTTAATTTACAGCAAGAATAGCACTTGCACTAATTAGTTGTCCTGATATGATGGGATTCCACTCATCACATGTGAAAGTGAATCTGTATAGCCTGTCTCTTCCCCTTCTAAATATTGTTGCCTTTCTCTTACTTGTCCTTTATTCCCACCTTCTCACTTTCTTTTCCCTTGCCTTTATTTGGTATTTTCCCCCCTTAATTCTACCCATTCTCTAATTTTAATTCAAATATTAAAATTTTGAGTTAAAATGTAATATTCATATAATTCATATATAAATGTTGAGAATCAAACTCTCCATCATGTGTGGATAAAAGGCCTTGTTATTACCAAATCAGGCTGACCAGAATTGATATATTATAGTCTTTTTTATCTTAGTTATTTTGATTGAATTTACAGAATGAGAAAACAAAGAATTAAATTAATTAGTTATTTTGATTGAATTTACAGAATGAGTAAACAAAGAATTAAATTAATATGATGTATTAGATGAATACTGAATTCAAATCCGTGCATGAGATCAAAGCAAGGATTATGGTGCTTATTCACTATGGTAAGTGGTTGCTTTAATTGCAAGAAAAGTGTGATGAGGAAAAGCACGTATGAAGAAGGAAACAAAGTGAGTGACTCCAAAAGACTCACGTTGTTTAATTACTAAATAATTAACACCATGTTCACTTTTACCCAATACCTTAATTACGTATGCCATCTAAATGTTTACATAACAAAACAAGGGGGATTAATTTTAAATCAGTGTCTAAACTCGGTCATTAACGTGTCCAACTTTCAAAGCAAAAATTTAACCCTAGGGTTGGTTTAGCCATAAACAGACAACCATGTGTTTGTGTGTGTGTGACATATTCCTTTGGTCCTATTTTTAAGATATAGAGAAATTATTCATATTTTGGTCTTATTTTTATAGCATCTCAATTATTATTGTGATTTCTAGCCAATAAATAATTGTTGTATTTATCTTTATTCTTTTATCCTTAATAAATGTTAATACATGTCAGAGTATTGTAGTTTTAAAGTGTGAAAATTTAATAGAGGTTTAAAAATTTATTAAATTTTTAGACATAACTAATGAAGATTTAAGTTTTTTTAATTATAGTGAAAATGCTAGAAGTGACTTATAACTAATATGAAAGGGAGTATATGGTTATTCAAATTCTAATTAGAGATGATAAGGTGGTTGTTTTTCTTCTAAATTTTCCTTTGTTGATTTTTAATGGACATATGGAACCAAAAATCATTAATTAATATATAATATCCCATCTATGCAAATTTATAGGAAAATTCTAGATAAAATATGCATGCCAATAAAACTCATTAAATACACTTTATAATTTATTTTTTTAAAACAAAAATATAAATTTTTAAAAAGATTCTTCATAGCCTTAAAGAGAGAGAATATAATAAGTAGGGAAGAGTAATACTCTTTCGTTAAAAAATATAAGGTATTTTTAATTAAATTTTATTTTTAATAAAGTAGTTTTTTTATACACTCAATAAAATAGTTATTCATTTTTAAATTAACACCATTTTTTTATATGTACCTGTATTTAATAGAATGTTTTATTCTAAAATAAATATAAACTGATTTATCATTAGGAGAGTATTTTTAGAAAAAAGGAAAATAATTATATCTCAAAATATTAAAAATACTTTACATTTTTTTAACATACAACCACTCAAAAAATACCTTATATTTTTTAATGAGAGAGAATTAAAAAAAAGAGAGAATATATATTATAAGGAGGAAAGGGCAATATTGGAAATGTATACTCAATGAAGCCTTATTTTTATTAGATTATTTTATATTTTGGAGTGTTCAATCACTTCTAAAGTTATTTTATAAACTGGAATAGAAGGAATATTATTTTACACATGGACTAAAATATTCTCGTACTCGCTCTTGTTATTATAAGACCATTTCCCATTATCCTTAACATTATACTACTCTAGTGTTTCATATAAGATGAATTTAACTAACTTTATATATACTTATTAAGAAATGATAATTATATCCTTAAAATTATTAAAAAATTTAAGTTATGAAAAATATTTAAAGCTTTGTCTTATATTAATGATCGGAATTGGAGTACCCTTAACCTAAAACATTACCATTATTTTTTCATGTCCTTTGATTTGATTTTCCCTAATTACACTAATTAAACAACTTTCTAACTATACAGACACCTCTGATTAATGAATTTCATTAAGGTGATTTTGAAAATTAAAAACATATCAATTAATTTTAACTGAAAGTCCCAATGATAATTAAGCACCATAACTTTGAGAGGCAATGATATATACTTTGACCCTGTGATCAAATGCGCCCAAGCATCCTTGTGATCCTACCCGCGCAAGGTTAAATGGTCAAATCCCCATGTAGTTAAAGGGGAACAATAAATCTTGTGTTTGTGTTTGTGTGTGTGTGGGATTGTTGTGTAGTGTACTGTGGTGTGTGGGTGTTTGTGAAATGCATGTGTATGTGAGATCGATCTCTTTCCCTATGAGGAAGGGTTAGATGGGATATTAAAAAAAAAATTATAGGCAACTAATAAAGATGTTATTAAAAGACAACAAATCAATGAAGGGAACTCTTTACTTAACCATAACAATTTTGAAACAAAATAAAAAAAATAAAAACAACAAAATAATGATTGAAACGGAGTGAGGCAATGTGTTTGAAATTTTTGTGTTTGGATTTGTTATAAGTAGTCAAATGTTACTAATTTACTGAATCCTGGAAACCATTTCCAATTTGGAGTAAAAAATGTATGTGGATAAAATTTTGGGAAACGTTGTGGTGATTAATTCATCATAGACCGTCTGGGCAAAAATAAAAAAAATTGATAGACCGTCATTTATTTATTTATTTATTTTGGGGGTGGGGGGATACACAGAGATGAATTTAGACATAACAGTGAAAGAAGAAGATAACGATCTTGGCCCAAAAAACCAAAACAAAACAAAAGAAAGAAGATAATGATGGGAGAATAATACGGCATGAATATAGAAAATAGATATAAAATTAATTGCTTCTGTTTGCAAGTCAAAAATGCCACGAAATAACTGCATAACACCACGAAATAACTGCATAGCAAAGTCCAAAGATGTCAGTATCAGCCAAAAATATTGGTGTGAGGGAGATTTATTAGTTTTTTTTTTTTCGGTCTGAAGGGAGAATAATTTATATAAATATATATTAATATATATATATATATATATATATTATAGAATGTTAGTTCTAAAGGGCAAATATGTGGACTATTGAGGACCACTGATACCACATCAATAAGAGATGGTGAAACCAATCGTTTAGACTTTTTTTTTCTTAAAAAAAAAAAAAATCGTTCGGACTTTGGGTGAAGTGTCTCTGGTAATATTAAGAATATATGGGTGACCTGTAATTGGGTGACCTGTCACCTTTTAAAGTCATTTCTCTCCCTTCTTCTTCTGACATGCTTCACGTGTCATAAGTTAATTATCTCCCGTATATTATAATCATTTTAATACAAATCATTGAAATTTTTGTTTATTTGACAAACATCCTAACATTTTAATTTAAAATACTTTAATATTCATTTCTTCAACTTTAAATATCGAAATATCATTTAGGTGATATACAAGTGCGTTGGTATTTTTTTTTAATCGGACTTTATTCTAAATTTGAGTTTGAAAAATTTATAACTAATTAGTAATACAATTTATTTTTCACATCAAATGCAATATAAGAAGCTTGTTTGGTTTTCTCTATTTTATGATTATTGGATTCAATTATTCAAGTTTCATGGCTCATAATTATTATCTATGATTTTATGATTTTTTCGTGCCAACAAAATGCACAAATAATTCTCTGTGTCGTAAACACGTCATATAGAATTCTCACAATTTCAATTTGCATATCATTATATATGTATATATATATATATATATGTATATATATATATATATGTATGTATGTA